CATTCACGGATGTGACTCTGCACTGTACATCAATTAGGATATATATTTAACATTATGTAGGACTTATTTGAAATCTTACAAATACATTACATCTCTGGAATGTTCAGAATTATGAAATATTGTTAAATTGACCTAGGCCTAATTGTTTTTTTGTTTTTTTTTAATAACAAATTTATTAACAATTGAAATAAAACAATTTTTAAATCATTTCTTTTTTTTTTTTAAATTTACAATGGAGAAACCAAACTTTCACAAGTTGTCGTATGAAGCAAATGTAAAGGCATTTCCCAACAAGCGTAAGCAAGACTGTCAAAGAGAGGTAACTGAAATTTGGATTCAATTGAAAAAAGAGGATGATTTGCCAACAAAAGCAGATTCGTCATTGAATAGTTATGCCGCCTTAGCACAGAAAAATAAGGCAACACTAATGAACTTCTGGGCACACCAGTCTATGAAGAGTAGATGTCCTTCCTAAAAAATCAGCCACAAATGTAAAAATTGAAGAAGAAGTTGTGAAACATCCAACACAAACCATTCAACAAGACCACATAGAAATCGATTTAGAAGCTGGTCCATCCAGTACTACTTGTGATGAAAAATCTGTAAAATACAAAGCAAAAGTACAAGATGAATTACAGAGCCAGATAAGCATCCTCAAGAGCGATTTAAATGGCTTGTATAGACGAAAAGAAAGTGGTGTTTTAAGTTCAGATCAGGAAAAGGAAAAAAAAAAATTAAGGTTGATGAGCTAGAAAAGAAACTGAAAAGAAAGAAATATGAACAAGAAAAGCAGAAGATATACAGAAAAAAGAAACTTAAACTCAAATTTGCGCTGAGAATCCTGACGTCAGCAGTCAATTGAAGATCCGACAGAAAACTGGTCGACCAACAATTGAAAAAGATCAGCCGCTCCTTTTAAAAACCATTGTTGACATGGCGTTGTACGGGTCTGCTGCTCATGACAAAAGACAGAGTGATGTTTATCGTAGTGTTAGAAATCTCGATGATTTGACAGAACAATTAAAGATTCAAGGTTTTAAAATAAGGAGAAGTGCTGTTTATACTCGGCTCTTGCCAAAACGAAGTTTATCATCGGAAGGCAAATGCCATTAACAACTGTACCAGTGGAGTTAATTCGAGCACAAAATGATTTACACTCAAAACACATTGATGGTAGATTTTGTACAGCTACTTTGAATCACCTAGAGGAAGTGGCTTCTTTGTTGGGACCTAAAGAAGTATGCTTCATCAGTCAAGATGACAAAGCCAGAGTCCCCCATTGGATTGGCAGCCGCTTACAAGCAAGCTCCACTTTTAATGCATGTCGAATACCGCGTTACATTGCCTGATCACTACTGGGTAGTAGCATCTAGACACAAATTCATACCCTCTGCTTATGCTGGCATTGAAATCCAAAAAAAGAGGGGTTAGGTAAACCCGAAGCTGTAACATATACAGGCCCAACTGACATAGCCATCAGATCACGCAAGCATTGCTCATCATCAGCTTAGAGCCATGGACTGGACTGTGAAAGGCTTCTTGAATTGGAAGAGTTTGACATTGTTACAAAGGATCCAGGCAACAAGTTGATCAAACCGATTATTATGTCTGTGGATGGTGGACCTGATGAAAATCCAAGGTATCAAAAAGTTCTTGATGTGGCCATCCATCATTTTGTAAAGCAGAACAATGGTGCAATGTTTGTAACAACGAATGCGCCTGGTAGAAGTGCGTTTAATCGAGTAGAAAGGCCAATGGCTCCTCTTAGTCGAGAACTGTCGGGACTAACTTTGCCACATAAACATTCTTCCACCTTGACACACAGAAATATGGAAGCAAGTAAGCATAGACAATTTTCCAACAGTGGCAGAGTATATTGTGCCTGAAAAGTCTGAGCTTGAAAATTTAATAATCAAAGATCAAGTTTGGTGCCAAAACCATGTAAGAACAAGTCAGTACTTTCTACAAATTGTCAAATGTTGTGATTTAACTTGTTGCAGATTAGAAGCTCGTACTTTGATATTATTGCTGATAAATTTATCCCCCCACCAATTCCAGTCTGCCAAACTAATGAGGGCCGTACCAGATGTATCTGATATAATCTCACATAGATTTCCATCTTTTTTCTTCAATCAGTCTGTGAAAGTTGAAAACATACTACCTCGATCGGCAAAAGCATTCAAAATTCTTCCATATGATATATATTGTCCATCTATTCAGTTGCTATTGTTTCAACGGATCTGTAAAATCTGTCACCATTATGTTGCTTCGCAAGCCATGTTAAAGAAGCACGTTCAACAGCACCAACAATGTATGCCTGGGCCCAGTCAAATACTACATGCACCCCAACAGCAAAGAATTCATCCAATGTGAGTGGCTGCCAAAAGACAGCGAGAGTTCATGGCAATTATTGCTCATGGGGAGATGCTAAGTGCAGAATGGCTAGATGAAGAAAATGTTGACTTGTCTGGTGTTTCGGTTCCACAAGAAATTATTCAGCCAGAACCTATGCCAATAATAACACTTGAGGAACATTTGACATCTCCATGGGAAGATATATAGGCTAGAATATAAGATTTGGATTTGTTTGTACAAAAATATGTTAATAAATTAAAAGTGTATTTATAGTTTAACTTTGTAATCTCGTTTCTGCTTGAAGTTAGAACAAGTCTTAGTAAATATTCAAATAGTCTTTAAAGTGTTATAATATTAATTTGAAATTTGTTCATAATTTAAAGGTGTAATGTGGATACATTTTTGTAAACCCTATAATCTCTTTTCTTTTTAGAGTAAGCCTTTGTAGTTATAAATTGGAAATATGTTCATA